ACATTTACGACATGATGACTCAAAAGAAAGAGATATATTTCTATCGTGATGCTCAAGTCAAGGAACTGAGATCTGTTGCATTCGGACCTATGGTCGAAATAATTCTCATCGCCAAGACAAATAAACTTTTTCGATTGAAGTCATGCAGACTATTCATTAAGGATTTGCAATTGCGGAGCCAATTCTACAATTTACATAGATAGCAAATAATATACAATATCTATGTGCATCATGTAAATCAATTTCTGAAACAATGGATTCTGCTTTATATTCATTAGTAAAGATAAGATAATAGTAATGGGCGTTAAGCTATAAATAAGAGACTGAATAGTTTTCGGAAGAAAAGCAACAATTTGAATTAGTCTCTTTGCCATTTCGCTTCTTTCTCCAGTAAACACTTGAATTCAAATTGACAAGAATATGTAAATTCATCTATTGTAATATGTGGAGCTGACAGATAAATTCGTATATTGAATTAAGGAATCCTATAGATTCTTTTAATAAAGAAGCTTCAGGATTCAATCTTAAAGTAGGATTGACTCATAGATTAGTTTGATGAGTGCCTGTGTTAATAAAAATTAAATAAAACATAATAGGGAAATCTGGTATTTCAAATAACGCAAAGAAATCAAATTCTCAGATAGAGGACAAAACTTTACCTACTTTGAATGCTGCTAACACTACTTAACACAATCTACATATATAGATACTAAGTTGGAGATAACACTGGCAACCTATAATTTAAAAATCATAGTTGCAGAATTAGATGCATAACGTGGAGTATAAATGATATAATTTTAGCTACTTTTGTGGGTAAGATAGTTTGATATCCTTATGGAAAGTAAGTGCAGAAACAACAGGACAAGAAATGCTTGATACACATGCTAAGAAAATGGCAAGAATGTCCCAAAGTTAAGTGTTGCATTAACTTTTCAGACTAAAATAATTTTTGTCGTGGTAGAGGATCGTCATTTTGGGTAGAGTTCATTTGCCAATAATCAACAAAAATTAAAGAAATGTAAAAATTACCTTAACTTAAATCTGTTTCTCAAGCAGTTCCAAACCAAAATTTGCTGGTGTAATAGAAAAAATGAAGATCAATGCCGATGACTAATGTTTTCTAACTGCTGGTAGGGATGGGGCTATCATTGTATTTGAATTAAGGATAAAGATGCAAGAGGATAAAAATAAAGGCTAATTTAAAAATACCAGAAATATCACAAAAGCTCATTGTAGGATATCATTTTTCCTTAAAATCAGATTCAATTGCTAAACCAATTTTTATATATACAATTATTTATCTATGGCTGAGTTACGTCTAAGCTTTAGAATCTCATTTAATCATGTACAACACTTCATCAGGAAACACAACTTCTAAATTATAAAAGTGACGACGAATTTTATTATGATATAAAAAAGGGATGAACGAAATTGCCAAAAAATAATGATTAGGTGATTGAAAGTTTAGTTGAAGAGCATATAAGTTGTTAATAACATAATAATTGGATTTATGTTTGTGTTGTTACCTGAATAAGGGTTAAATAATAATAATAATTGCTAAACCAAAATTAATTTGCTTCTTATATAGTTTTAATAGTAAATGGTGAAGTTTTTAATCACTAAATCGACCAAAATGATACCCTTAAATTAGTACTGAACTTTTGAGATAATTCTTTATTAAAATAATTTATAATGATATATTTGAACAACTGATGTTAATACTGATTACTTTAACATATATTGTTATTACCTTTGTTCTGGATACAGGAATCAATTTTTCTTATTGAATTCATATTCCTTAATAAACTAAATTCTTAGCATTCCTTAAGTATATGTTAAGATGAGGAATAAAGGAACCTGAGAACCAAATGATATTCTTGAGTTTGATTCAATCAAGGGCTAAAATATGAATAAAATTAATTTATCATAAATTTTACGAGTGCTTTAAAGAATGGAGGGTCCAGGATGGATGCAATGAAATTTAGAGAAATAGGGAATTGATCAAAGGAAGGAGAGTGAGGTTTAAAGACGGAAAAATCCCTAAAAGTTAGCCTAAGCATATTTTTTGAAAGGAGATGCTGAATTGAATTGTTGAATACCAAAATGAACAGCAGGAATATATACATCTTCAAAAACTTATTTTTAATTTGATTATGAATTTCAGAATTCATAATAATTAAATAAAAATATTATTTATTATTATTAATTAAAATTCAATGCATCTTCTCTCAATGACTCAACCCTTTTCTAGATCAATGAGTAAAGTACTTAGGATTATCCACATTTATATCTAATGTTAAATTTAGTTGAAAGGGAATTTGAAGTTACATCGAGAATAATATGCGCCTAAATACAATATTAAGGAGTGTTAGATATAGTTCCTCAAACAAAAAGATGTCCTTAATGATCGAAGCTAAATCTCTATTATAGATTTTCAAATAAATTTTATCAAAAGTACTCGAATTTGCAATAAAATTCTATTAATTTATTGATTTTGATTATTTGAAGGAAATTCAAATGAAATTATAAGTATTAGAGAAGGAATAGAAGGAGAGGATTTTGGATAAGATCAAAGAACTGCTGTGATAATGAAGATTCAGCCTCCAAGCATTGAACCATTTAAAATTGTGATATTCATTGCAGCATAAGGTATATTGTAGGATTTAGAACTGAAAGAGTTGTTGAAATAAACGATGTTTAACAAATTAGACGCTGAAAGATATACAAACTTCTCATACATTACTAGTAAAAGATGAAGTCTGAGGTTGAAATAAAAACAATCACCTGGAAATCAGATTAGATATAACAAGAGAAGTAAACCCAGTAATTAAGACTACAGATTCAGTCCAAAAGAATAAGATCACTATTTAGTTAAGATCAATTTATTATTTTTAGAAACATTATTATCAAATGAACCAGCCATTGATATTGTCTCCAATACTGGAATAAAAATAGAAATAGAATGATCTTTAATAGTTACATCTTCCTCTCTTAGAAGAATGGCCTGTAGGATATTTTTGGAGAAAAATATTTTCGGTTTTGTTTGAATATGAGTCCAGAATACTCCTAAATCTATAAGTCTCCTGAATTTGATGGCTACAATAATATTTGAGAAATATTTGGTGCCTTTCCTGACTAGGTTTTATAGAGAGAATGAGAAGAATTGCTGAAGAGATACAAATATTCTCAAAATTCATAATTGAAAGATTAATTAGAATTTAAGTGAGATATTTATTAATTATAAAATAAGACATTTGATGGATATAAATGTATTTTGAGAATTGAACTAATTGCAGGGCATATAATGTTATTAGGCAAAGATCAATAGAAGTGTTTCATATAGTTCAAGTTGATTGGAGAGGACAAATAAGAGAATTGAAAAGCAAAGTCGGTTGATTAATTTGAATATGTGTTTCATTTTCATTTGAATCAAATTACGAATGCTAATAAAGAATTGCGGATTCTATTATGCATAATCAATAGATGGAGTAAATGTCAAAGCAGAAGATGGGTAATTTCAAACAAAAGAATTGAAGTTCCAAGTCTGTTAGGTTTTGATGTTTCCATTTCAAATACAAGTAACTCATCAAATATATTAATTTAGTTAAGGATAAGGTAGTCACCATCCAAGTTCTGGGCAAGAATGGAATTGAGGGTGATGAACTTCTTGTTCTATTGTAAAAATTGACATTAATCTATTATTACAAAGTAATTTCAAAGGATTAATCTGGCATCAAGTTGTTGAAACAGGTTTTTATGAAGCAAGAAATATTCTGACTGATTTGAACTAGAAATAGAAAACAATAAATTTAGACAAGATTTAATTGGATACAAGAATGCTAAGATGAAATTAACATTATCAGGGAACAGGAAGTCCTAAAGATTGTAGAAGAAAAGTAGTTTATCAAAAATAATACCATAGCTCGATTAGAGGATAATTTTAATTTTGAATACAATGGAAATATTATAGAATTTGATTGGACTGATTATAGTGCGTTGAAACATCCAGTGTAAATTTAATTGACGAAATTG